GCCTTGGCCGGGAATACGAAACGTGACGCAGTTTGCTCCAGTGTGCCCGCAGTCGCTGGATGAGAGGAGCATGCTGGGAGACATGATGCCGTCCTGGCTGACGGCTAACCTGGATATAGCTGCAACGTACCTCACTCACCAGAGTGAAGATTGTCTTTACCTCAACATCTACGTCCCCACCGAGGAAGGCGAGTGAAGCCAAATGTGTGCGGGTTTTTGAATAAGAATGACCGTTTAGTTCATTCACATGTGAGGTCAAAACAGATTGGCAACAAAGTGGCACCGCATAACCTTAGAACGACATTAAGATGATTTTGAGGCTATGATTAAGAATGGGAGGGTCACAGAGAAATTGTTTTGAATAAATAAGTAAAGTTATTTTTTAACCTGCAGCCCATTCTGCTCCACCCCTCTTGTGCACCAACACTTAATATGCAGACACCTGCGTCAGTCGCCGTGGGGTTCACCCCTCGACTCGAGGAGTAAACTGGGAAGGACACAGACTCACTCATGCATACATATTGGTTCATACACATGCATGTGACCCCACACACACAGTCTCACAAACACCTACACACGCATGCACACACACAAAGGCAAGGGTGAGCACTCTCACAGCCTCAATTTATATCCATCCCCCGAGGAGTTGAAGGAGGGGAGATGCAAAGCATCGAGAAGCGAGACGTCCACAAACTCTTTCGGTTTGTATGTATAAACGCAGTGAGCGATTAAAGGCTGAGACACATTCATTAACAAGCAGTCAAACACGCACACGGTCGATATGCACATTTATTCAAACACCAGACAGAATGGAGGCAGACGGAAGGTGGGTGGATCTGTGCTTACATGCGCGCACAATAAGTGATTTTTTATATATAGCGCCGGCATAAGGGGCTTTAGTGATGTCACCTTGAACATTGGTTCTATCTATCTATCTATCTATCTATCTATCTATCTATCTATCTATCTATCTATCTATCTATCTATCTATCTATCTATCTATCTATTTATCTATCTATCTATCTATCTATCTATCTATCTATCTATCTATCTATCTATCTATCTATCTATCTATCTATCTATCTATCTATCTATCTATCTATCTATCTATCTATCTATCTATCTATCTATCTATCTATCTATCTATCTATCTATCTATCTATCTATCTATCTATCTATTTATCTATCTATCTATCTATCTATCTATCTATTTGTATCTATAATCTATTGTCTCTCTCTCTCCCAGACATCCATGAAGAGGGGGGGCAGAGGCCGGTGATGGTCTACGTCCACGGGGGCTCGTACACAGAAGGCACTGGCAACATGATGGATGGCAGCGTGCTTGCAAGCTACGGCAACGTCATTGTCATAACCCTCAACTATCGTCTCGGAGTACTGGGTAAAATGATGTCTCTTCTATATCTCGTATATCTGTTGAATTCTTTTGCGATCTGCTAAACGCTTAATGGTGATATCACTGTTAATGGGTGTGGCTGCATTTAAAGATGTTAAAACATACCTCTGGATTCTTTATTACTATCCTATGTTATCACATTGAGTTACTCTACAATGATGATCACATTCAATCATTAGATTTAAAACTCTAGTTTGGTATTGTTCACAGATTATGTTTTTATTGGAAAATCATGGTCAGAATTGCTTTTTCAATTCGGTTGCATTTTTTTTATCGTGTAACGGGTGTTCAGGTTTTTACCCAATGTAAATGCCTTCTTTTAACCATAAGGATTTATTTGCAGTTGGATTATTTAATCCTTCAGCGAGCTATGAAATGTGGAACAAATTAGTGAGTTGTTTTCCACTGGGAGCAGCTTTTTTGTTTTGTTTTTGAGTGAAAACTTGTTCAGTATGGCTGTCCCTAGTGGAAATAAACCCCCTGAAGCCCTTTCTACAAGCATTGACTCAAATCTGATCCTTTATACCTCCATGACTCTCTGACTGAGTGCTCTGTGAACAGTGAACATCTTACTCCCTGTTGGTTTTCACATTTTAGACAGCAATGCAATGCACACTGGGTAACAAACAAAGAGCATATGAATCCTGGTATTTAGCATCACTTCAAACTAGTTGGATACATAAGCTGCACATCCCATTATTGGCTGGGTTAAATCATGTCATTGCTCTCATTAGGAGTTGCCCCTCTTCAATAATTCATTTGAAGAGATTAATTAAAATATGCCAGGAGGTTAATAAAATGTGTGCATGCAGTATGTTTGAATATAGCCTATTCAACATTATTAAACAATTAAAAAAGATTTCATCCAAATACCATTACGTCTTTAATCTACTCGATTTTGTTGATTTACGTTACAGACAGTGACATGATTCAAATTAGGCTTTTGATAAATGATATGTAGATTCATCAAAATGTACTTCCTATAAGGGCGCAATGGTAAAGGAAATATTTCTTTGGCTGAACCTTCAATGAATTATTTAGTTTTCTACCTTTTTGTGCAGTTTGAGCACATTCAGATCATGTGAACACATACATTATGTTAATTCTGTGTCAGAGATATTTCTCTAACAAAGGCAAGGACATTTGTGGGTTGTCCTTTAAAAAGCATGTCAATGAAAATGTAATAGAGAAAATGGTAAACGTTCTCGAGACAAAAAGCTATTGTTTGAATGTATGACATCCATTCTTTCTTTTCTGTATTTTTCAAGCTTTGAAAGATGTTATTAGATAACAATTTTTCTGTGATGGCGTAAATTTAAATGCGCTTTGTGGGTGAAACAACCATTTAACAGTTAATTCTGACTTTGGTGAGAGGTGTTAGAGGTGTAATCATCATATCAAGCCAATCGAAGCGAAACCAACATGCTTCTTTTTGTCTTCATCTCCATCCACTGTGTTTGCACCTCCTCCAATATGATCATCACCACCATCACCATCCATCATCATGACTAGCAGTGTCTTCCTCTTCTTCCTCCTCTTCCTCCTCATTCTCATCATAAGTTGGAAGCATGAGGTGAGCCCATATATTAAAAGTGTGAATCTTACCGTACTCGGCTGGAATTGGGTTGTGTTTCCAATGAAATGTTTGAAATTAATGAAACACAGGAAAGTAAATCTAGAAAATATGAAGCCATTCTGGAACGTCTACCTCGTTTACTTATATTGTGCGTTTTGCACAAGATACATTTCGGCAAAATTGAACTGATGAAATGTATAATTTTGACGATGCCTATCTTCCTCATTACAGCATGTGCTCATGGCTAGCTTGAGGTTCATGTAATTAATCCCCTGCAGGAATGTGGTGGAGTGAGCCATTAGGATCCTTTCTGTTTACTTAACACCGTCAGCAGTAAAGGGAATAAGGGATAGCTGCGTTAGAGCTGCACGTGTGCGTAGGTTTATGTTGAGTTGTGTGCAAGTGGATTTTCCCTCACATGAATACGGTTGTATCCTGTTGATTTAATCAAATTTGCAAAGGATTGTGGGGGAGGGCCTCGTTTTTAATTAACATCTCTTCTATGAGGATGAAAAGGATTTAAAAAAAGGATTTTTAATCATGCATTAATTGATTGCAAATCACCTGCCTGTGTGCTTGTAGCCTACTTTGTAAGATGACTTTCCAAAAATTCTGAAGGACAAACCTCTGTTAATCGAGTAATACATTATTCATTCATAGTTTTCTCAATTCCCAGTGTTTTTTTCCCCCACATGTCTTCATGTAATATTAAGTACTATGTGTTATATGTAATAACAACATTTCACTCTGTCTGCCTGTAGGCTTCCTTAGTACAGGGGACCAGGCAGCAAAAGGGAACTATGGCTTGCTGGATCAGATCCAGGCTCTGCGCTGGGTGAAGGAGAACATTGCCGCCTTCGGAGGAGACCCAAGCAGGGTCACGGTGTTTGGATCGGGGGCCGGGGCCTCCTGCGTCAGCCTGCTCACCTTGTCTCACTACTCTGAGGGTAAGGGAGAACCACGTGTGTTTTATTCATGTTAAACGTACACAAGATAGTTGTGCACCTGCGATAGAAACCTTTCATGGTTTCAGTGGCCCGTTCAGCTTAAATTTACTGGCATAAATGCTTGAATAATCCTTTGAATCTGAATAATACAGCCTGCATGTGACTCATATAGCTAAGAGAACCAGAACCTTGAACCAGATGCACTAAGCATGACCTGTCATGCTTTTCAATAATGCACTTCTGTGAGTTGGGTGTTTTCTCGCTGTGGGAGTAGTTTCGCGCGTGTGTGTAAATGTAGTCTGCAATCACGTGGATGCAGTCATGCACGTGCATCCATAAATGTGCAGATCTGCGTGCCCCGTCCTTCCTACACCCACATTCGTATTCATGCGTGTTCGTCGTGTACCTCAGACCTGTTCCACAGAGCCATCATCCAGAGCGGCAGCGCCTTAGCCAGTTGGGCTGTGAACTACCAGCCGAGCAAGTACGCCCGGCAGCTCGGCGAGAGGGTGGGCTGCGGCATCGACGACAGCACCCAGCTGGTCGCCTGTCTCCAGGGCCGGAGTTACCGCGAACTGGTGGAGCAAAGCATAACGCCAGCAAAATATCACACGGCTTTCGCCCCGGTGATCGATGGTGACGTCATACCGGATGACCCCCAAATTCTGATGGAGCAGGGAGAGTTTCTGAACTACGACGTGATGCTCGGCGTGAACCAGGGCGAGGGCGTGAAGTTCGTGGAGGGCATCGTGGACTCGGAGGACGGCGTCACGGCCGAGGACTTTGACTTTGCCGTGTCAGACTTTGTGGATAGTTTGTACGGATACCCGGAAGGCCGAGACACGCTGAGAGAGAGCATAAGGTGAGTGAGCCTGTGAATGTTGTGACGCGGTGAAAGGAATAGTTAGAATAAAAGAAGTTGATGCTTCGTTAGAGGAGAACCATGACAGCACTCTGATGGCTGATTGTTGAATATAAGAGACGGTTGTCTGTTAGCTGATATCTCGTTACTTCTTGTTGTAACGTCCTTCGATCTTGTTATCAATGCAACTTGGTGTCAATCTTATCGAAGACTTTGCCAAAATGCCAATAAGCGTCAACACCATTCCATGAAACGGATTATTAAAAGAACAGAATTACGAATGCACTTATTCGCTCCTTCACGTTGATAACAATCATGTATTTTTGATAGACTTATTGATAGCAGTCTTGACATGTGTCCTCAGGTTCATGTACACGGACTGGGCCGACCGTGACAACGCAGAAACCAGGCGCAAGACTCTGGTGGCGCTTTTCACCGACCACCAATGGGTGGCGCCAGCCATCGCCACGGCCGACCTCCATGCTCAGTACGGATCTCCCACCTACTTCTACTCCTTTTACCACCACTGCCAGAGTGACGCCACGCCGCCCTGGGCTGACTCCGCCCACGGCGATGAGGTAAATCGACGTCAAAGGGCTGCGTTACTTTACGGGGATGATAAGGGCGACAGAAGAGGGTAGAAGCGGTGGCGCGAAACGTGACATTAGACATCGAAGGGAGGAGTAACGATCAGACCGTGGCAAAAATGAGGGCCACTAATTCCCAAAGATTTGGGAAATATTAATGCGATGAATCAGAAGCTCGCTCGCTTTAGATTAACCGTGAAGTGCTGCTTCGTAGTGATTTATTCAAAGGACTTAAGTGGAATCAAGCAATCCTCTACAGCACAAAATACTTCATGGGACATATTTTGCCGCAGGGCTGATTTGAAAGTCGCTCTATGTTTAACGCTGTGATGATTGGTTCATTACGGCACTCTTTTCCTCTGTACTTTGTAACAAAGTAGAGCACTTTGAGTTGAAGAACTGTGATCTGCCAGCCGTACCTTGTCCTGAAATGTGTGTCCGTGTGCTGCATAGGTGCCCTACGTGTTCGGGGTGCCCATGGTGGGACCCACGGATCTGTTCAACTGTAACTTTTCCAAGAACGACGTGATGCTGAGTGCTGTTGTCATGACTTACTGGACCAACTTTGCCAAGACTGGGTGAGCTATTAAAACGTTCAGTGATGTGAGACGCTGACTGGGGAAGAGGTTTCGCCTCCTGGCTGACTTTACTGTCCAAAGACAAGCAAGAGAACAACACCAAACAAAGCCCAGATTCAGCATGACTCAGTTCTCACTTGTTTTAAATTAGAAACAAACAAGAAGATGCTTCTAATTGCTGCTATTGATATCTTGTCCCCAACCATGGACAGAAAATGTCTTTGGATAACAAATGAAAGCCAATTAATCACATGTTATTAAAACATGAAAGAAAATGCACAGTTGTCATTAAGATATTATTCTCCATCTTGGACACGCTGCAGAGACACGGCTTTGGCAACGCGGACTGTTGTTGCTGTAACTGTGCACGGCTCAATCTCAATTTTACAGGAACAAATCTCCTCTAGGCCCAAAATAAGACAGCAAAGACTCCAGTCTTTAGTGTGATCAACCTCTCTCATGCGTTTCCTCTATGTGTAATTTGTCTGATTGATAGTTAATGATCATTTGCATGGCGTGTAGTTATCTGGAAGGGTTCAAGCAAAGAGAGGTCAATCTCAAGAGATGATAACAGGTCATGATTGGCAATAACACAACTAAATGTATCTACCACAAATGATGCATGGGGAAATGCATTGGTTGTAATTTGTAAGAATTTATGCAGGAGGTAGATCAAAAAGCATTTCTCTCTCATTCTTTTCCCATAAAAATAAGAAACATTTTAATTGCATGAAAACAAAAGTTTTTCAGAAAAACTAGGTTTCAAATGGAAGTTAAAAATAAGCAAAGCTGAGATTTAATGAGGCATTGGAGGAAAACAACAGAATTTTAATACAACAAAAATAATGAGCTAACAGGAAAAAGATATGTTATTATTCTGTCTTTTCTCTAAAATGCTCTCTGACGTCTGACGAGAAGACAGTACTTTAGAAACAATCATGAAAGCAGCACTGCAGACTAGTTTCAGCCAATTGAGGACACAGATTCTCTGTTATGTCGAAAATCTCAATGTTGCTTTTCGTCTTCGGGCCTCGGCTGAGAAAATATAACAATCTTTTGAAAAGCTCTTGAGAAAAGCAATGGTGAAGAATGGCCAATTGTTTGACTGAACAAAACGTGTTTTAATTTAATGTAATTCATGTAAATTCAAGGGCTTTATGGGTATGAACGCTTTAAAACAAATTTTTCAAAAGCATCAATCACACAGTACACAAAAACTGAAATATTGTCAATAACACCACATAATTACAATACAACACAATATATTTAATTGAATATTTTGATCTCAAAATCTAATGTTTTGCACTGTTCATCTAGCTCTGTAGTTTGGGATGAGCAAATCAAATTTATTATATTCCACTCTGATATTATTACATTAGTCACAATTTAAGAGGAAGTTCGCCTCAGTCTCCACTTCCTCTCCTCTTTCTTTTCTTTTCGGTCTTTTTCCATGCTTATTCAGTTATGATCAAAACTGGTGCAATGATACAGATAGCTTATTCAACACATTAAATCAAAATGAAGAGGACCTGCCAGAGGCTAAAAAAGCTTCTGGATATCCAATTTATTAAATTGAAGGTGAAACGATCTGCCAGTAGCTACGAATACTGAAGTTGTAGAAAAGATCCACATTCGAACTTTCAGAACCCTGACAGTCCACTCCGATAAGAGTACGTTTTATCTCTGCACTCTGACATGATATACAAGATAAAAGCATGTGTTGAAGATGGAACCTCTTTCTGCAGTGCTTGAAGTGAGCAATTACCAGTAATTAATCCGATCGAGGCTCACTCCACCGAGACTTCCTCAGATTTACAGAGACATCTGCAGTCTAGACCTTGATCCAAAGCATCAGTAGCGCCCGGCTTTCTCACCGCATCCCAAATCAGCACCGTGTGCGAAAGTGTTTAATGCCGGTGCGTTACGATTATCCCAATTTCATCAAGTTAGCATTGTCTGGCCCAAAGGCCGCGCGTTGCGATGGCCACCGCGGAGGGTTGTTAAGATTTCAGTGCTCGCTTGAATTACAGACCGGGAACTTTTTCTGAAGAAAGACTTTACCCGGTTGAGAGCGCCTCAGATGGTGATGGGGCTCTGCGACAGCTCAATTTAAGAGAAGGCCGTGATGCTCCCTGATGTATGCTTTTATTGTCGCTGCGTATAAATCCTCGGGTTGTGCGCGTGCAGGTGTGTGCTGGTGTTTTTCTTTCACGCTAGCTGCCTCTTTGTGCTGTTCAAAAGGCGTTGATTGACGTGTGAGCATATAGCTTGTAACTGGCAAGTCTGTAAAGATGTGCTGCTCTTTCATTTACGTCTTCTTTCGCCGCTGATGCGAATATGTTGTAAATTGTAAAGTAAATGCGTTTCCGAAAGTGTCAGAGAGGGGATTTCTCCGGATATTTTTGCCATGAAACACACATCCACCTTAAATCAGACGTCTGACAGTTTCTAAAGGGGCAACTATCCACACTGCTGCATTATGTGCATTATGTAACCGAATGGTTTTGTAACAGACGTATTGCGTAGACAAAAAACAAAGATCTGCCAGTCTATCATCTCTGAGCCAAGTTTACAAGGAAACTTTTTCCTTTTGTGCAAGTATTTTTTAGCCACAGTTCTGTCCTTTTTTTTAAAACTTTGATATAGATTTAGAAAGCTGTGTACCGTCTCTGGGGAAATTATTGGAAAGCATTAGAGAAAGTCAGATCCCTAGAGGAGGGTAGCCAGCTGGGAAACATCTTCCGCAGCTCCGTTAGGAGTCTGACATCTGCAAAACTGAAAAGCGTGAAATATTGGTATTTATGCTAAAACACAGAATCACAGCACTACATTTCCTGCATTTTTAAAATGCCACCCTTGAATGCAAATACCTAGGTGTTCTCACTATCTATATAGATATAAATATCTATATCTATATAGATATAGATATATATACCCTAACTCATCCAGATTTTGTTAAATAACTCATTATGTTTCATTCTCTCCAGTGACCCAAACCAGCCGGTTCCTCAAGATACAAAATTCATCCACACTAAACCTAACCGTTTTGAGGAAGTGGCCTGGTCCAAATACACCCCTAAAGAGCAGCTGTATCTCCATATTGGCCTGAAGCCCCGTGTCAGAGACCACTACCGCGCCACCAAGATCTCCTTCTGGCTCCAGCTGGTCCCGCACTTGCATCACGTCAATGAGCTTCTGCAATCGGTGTCGTCCTTCACGCACAGTCCCTCCCCACAGGACGACACTCCTTATTCCTACACTAAGCGCCTGGCCAAAGGGTGGCCGCCTAGCAGCACGCGTCATCCGGGTTCACAAGGAGGCACTCCGCAGCCGCCGGAGGCCGCTTTAGGCCAAGGTGGAGAGGAAGACGGGGTCCGCGTCCCTCCTGAGGACTACTCGACTGAGCTGTCGGTGACGATCGCCGTGGGAGCCTCGCTGCTGTTCCTTAACATCCTCGCATTTGCCGCACTGTTGTACAAGAAAGACAAGAGGCGCCTGGAGCATCGCCGGCCACGGCCACTTCCTCCCCCAAGACGGGACATCACGCCTGCAGATGTCGCCGCCCACTTGCAAGGGGAAGCGCTGATGTCATTGCAAGTGAGTTGTGTGTTTTTGGGCCTTTCCTTTTACTATAAATGAAGCGAATGTGTGTCCACCTCTGCATATACATTTAATCAGTCAAAAATGAAACAGGTTTATTGTTATTAATCACACACATTATTATGATGATGTACATTTTAAGTAGCATCAAGCCAGTTGAGATTGTGAGTGAATAAAATACTTTCTTTCCAGTTGAGAGTCTGCCAGTAGAGCACTTCTGCAAAACACAGCCTGTCATTTGCAGAAATCATCAGTCCAAGGATGTGTGCGTTTGTGTGTGTACATGTCACTGTGTTTTGATGCATGTGGGTGTGAGAGCTGTGTCCAATTGCCAGAATTGCTTGCAGTTGCCTCCAATTCATCCACTGACTATGTGGCCTCTTTGGAGTTCAGTTAATGGCTTTGGAATCTCCCACATTAAGTGCTAGATGTCAGATCCCTGACAAAGCAGACAAATACTGTTAATTGTCAGTTGAACGATATGAACGTAGCTTGACGTTGCTGTTGTATTTGATTATTTGTTTGTGTGGTATTTTTGCTTTTTTTATCAGACCTGGCGTAATAGTCTATTACTACTTTTGGGAAACAAAGGTTGGGCAAACCATAGTAACATGGGACTCAATAAAAGCTGATATTAAGAGTTCTTCTCAATTGTGAGGATTTATTATCTGTGATTTGAACATCTTTGGGATTTAAAGTGTTGGTTGGACAAAACATGGAATTTGAACATCTTTGGTTTCATTAAATGTTTTTGTATGTTATGAAGTCGTACAAATTATATTAATTCAAAAAAATAATTAAGGAAAATAATTGCTAGATTAATATATAATATTAATTATATATATATATATATATATATATATATATATATATATATATATATTTAAATATTCTGTTGTTTATTTGTATATCTTTGTAGTGACAGCCATGGCGGTGTGATTTCATATCTTTCATGTTCTTTCCTGATATTTCTCCACCTTTTAGGTGAAGCAGCTGGAGTGTGACGCTGCATCAGCAGACGAGAGGAACAACACTCACCACCATCACACTCTGGATACGCTGGACGCCCTGGACGGCTTGGACACCCAGGACATCTACAGCACGCTGGACACCGTGCGCCTCACCTGCCCGCCCGACTACACCCTGACCTTGCGCCGCTCGCCCGACGACGTCCCCCTCATGACCTCTCTGACCCCGGGATCACTGCCCGTGACTCCCGGGTCCCACCCTGTTACCCCGGCGACGCCGATGACCCCCATGACGCCCGGCTCAGTGGTGGGGATGAGGATGGGGCATCCGCACCAGGGATACACACACCATAACCCGTATAGTAATACACACCTGCCACACACACACATCTCCACGCACACACACTCCACTACGCGTGTATAACCACAGCAAGATACCTGCACACACAAGGACATCATTAAAACACACACACTCTCATACTAACAGATGCACAAACACACACACACTCCACACACACAGACACACACACACACACACACACACACACACACACACACACACACACACACACACACACACAAACACGTACACAGAACAAAAGACTTAAATACCTCTACTAATTACCCTGCAGGATTGTTTCAGATGGAGTGACAGAATGACATTTTCAGTAACAGGAAGAAAAGACAGACAGCTGTGTGTTGCATGTCGGGAACTAACGGACGAACTGGATCCCGGCAGATGCAGTTCTATGCATCAATCGCTCATCACCTTGAACGAGATGAGCCGAGGCATCCGTCGCGAGATCTGCTTTGGATATGAAACCTTTTGCTTTTTCTACACCCGGAGAGGACGAGGAGGAGCGCCGTGGCAAAAAGGGTCAGTCATGGATCAGTTTACATCTCCTACTGTACCTGTGGTGCACCGGTGAAGCGGTGCAGAGGCTGATCAGAGCACACGCAGATGCAGATGTAGATGTAGATGCCAAGAAGCACCACACACAGACTGCTGATGTCAACTTGAACAACCTGTGAAATGTGAATGTAGCATATTTTTCCATTAAAAGATCTGAGGCCCTATCTGCCAAGGATCAAAATAAGCTGAGGAGAAGATAACACATTTTCGAAAGAGGTGGATGTAAACAAAGATGGAGAGGAAAAGGGGATCTAAAAAAAAACAACATTAGCTGTAAAGGAAAGGTTCGTCGGAAGGTGGGAAAGGGATTAGGATTTTATTGAAAGGGATTTAACAGCTGTGAGAGTGAGGAAGACAAAGCGAGATAGAGTGATATGGAAAACACGGGGACAGAAAGCGGGCCAAGAGACAGAAATTAGCTTCAGACAATGAACGGGCCTCTGAAGTGTTGTCAGATTACTGAAGAATCACTCTAACCAGCTACGTGTTAAACTCTGTAAATAGAATGGAAAGATACAGATGATATATTATGATTTATAGCATTTAACTGCTGTTGCATTAAAACATGACTTATTTAACCACATAAAATGCTTTCATTTCAGATACTACTATATTATTGTATAGGTGTCATGAAGCAAGGCTGGTTGTCTTTCTATCTCACCCACTGTAGTATTTACACAGTACTTTTATTTAAAGGCTATGTCATTACAATCATTCTTAACTGTGTAAACATCTCAATACTTGTTCAGTAGTTGAAGTAAAGGTCATTTTCATCTCCATTTACTGTCCATTGTTTGACCATCTGGTGATGAGTTAGTACTGTGTAGATAATGCAATATTGGTATGATCATTAAGCACCAGCCAAAAACCATTACCTGTTAATCCCTTCCCATCCCTCCTTTCCCCCTTGCTCCTACCATTTATCCTAAAGGCCTTACCCTTAATTCTTAATAAATCCAACCTTATAAAATGGCTCAGCAGACAGGCAGGTGGTGATGATCTGTGATTCGGCAGCACGTCCCCAGAAAGTTTGGAATGAGTTCGTTGTTTGTTTTTTTCCTACCGGGCGACCCAGTTATTCTAAAAAACACCCTTCTGGAGCTACGTAATTCTGACTGAAACCTTTAACAAAGGTCTGTTAAAGCTTAACATTTCTCCACAGTGTGTGTGTGTGAATCTGTCAGCCACATTTTAAAGCGTGGAGTTTGGTATCTGCCTCCTTGTTGTCAATACCTCTGAGCATGATTTGATTAGTTAGCGGCGGCTCGGGTGGAGCTGAGGACGGATGATGAGGGTGGCTTTGCTCCATGGTTTGACTTGACATTGAAGGCAACTCTAAACCAGCCCTTTCTTTGCCCGTCCCTAATATCCTCTTTATGGAGCTATTTACTTAATTTTTTTCTTCTTCCAAATCGCCCCCTACACAGGCTTTAGAATGAATTGAAATGAATTATTAAAAGCCACCACCAACGTCTCGTGGAAGTAATGATTCATTTTATTTCAAATGGAAGCTGAAGGTTTTCCTGCTGACTCCACAGCGATTGCTCGAGGGCGGTGGTGGTTACTGCTTTGTGTCATCATAATGAGAAACGCAGCATTCAGAAAATCTATTCCGACCAATTCACACTGACAATTCACGAGCCGGTCGTGTGGTTCAGTCCTGGCTGCCATTAAGAAATGACAAGTGGTCAAAGCCAATACGTGATTGCTAATGTGAATTAATCAAGAACTGCCGGACTTTAATCTCAACCAGTAACTTTAAACAAAGGCCCTTTCCCCTGATATACCTTCCCTGTTTTGTCCTCTTGTCCAGCTTCTCCCTTCCCCCCAAACAACCCCCCCCCCCCCCCCCCCCCCCCGCCTCCCGCACCCCCCTCCTCCCAGCCTCATCTGTGCGACGACATGCAGCTTTGTCACAGTGTGGCCTATTTAACCTCCTCTCATCCTAAGTAACTTCTTCATGAGAGATTTTAGTTAGTTGTCAACAGAATACATGAACAATGAAAGCCGAAAAATTTGTGGATGACAAGCAAAGAACTTTTACAAAATGATACAAAAATAACATTTAATGTATGTTTGATCGACTGGATATTTTTTTCATATGGGTTTACTGACCCAGCGGATGGCTGGATTGTAAAGCATAAAACATTTTTGCTGCATTTTTGAAAAATAAAAAATATCAGTATTTTACAATTTATGATCATTTTAAATTTATAATACTGTGTGTACCATACTGTTCATAGAGAGCTAGAGGAGATGTGTTGATGGGCTTTGTATAATTGCCACTGATGCGTTTTTTTGCGTTTGACCTGTACGCTGAATCTGAAGCTGTAGGACTGTATGAGCATTAAAAGTGAAATAAGCTCGCCTGGCTCGCCTGGCAGCTAACTGTAGCTTCAAATCCAGCCTTCAGATGTGAGAATCAATCTTGTCATCTGACTCTCAGCCAAAAAGTGAATAAACTTAATCTTCAAAACTATTCCTTAACATTTAAAAAAATGTCAAAGACAGATTCTATATGGATTACCTTTAACTTTGCTCTATAGATCACATGTTTTGCAATTACTTAAATCCTTACTGCAGCGAAATAGGGAGATTTTTCTGTACATCATTGAGAGCACAAGCCCCTGCCAGCTGGCGAAGGAGACCCTGTGGGATGTGAAAGAAACCAAATTAATGGCTGACTTCCAAACCAGATTGATGTCTCCTACAGCGTGTCCCCGCTCTAATCCCATTAACTAGATATAACTGCAGTTAATTAGATTTATGGCCAGCAACACATTAGAAAGCATGAGTTCGTGACCAGGTGTTTTTTTGGTTTGATGTCAGCGTGCGACCAAAGGGACCTCAGAGGCCAAAGTAAGCTGCTCAGACCTGAAAAATGATTCCAAAATTGACATTTGAATTTGACATTCTCAGAACCATGGCCAACAATGGCGGACTACTTTTCAGTGAATCACGGCATTTGGGAAAAGAAACACAGTTAATTGAACATGTTATATTTTGTACTCTCTCTTGAATGGTTGCAACACGATTGAGGTTATTTCAGCAGGATATGTTAAAGTCTACAGGTGGTGAACTCTATTTGCTAACTGCTGCCCACAAATAGTGTGTCTGAACATTTTTCCCAGATCTTAACTAATCTCTAAAAATGTAATGAGAACCAAATGGGGACTATTTTATGGTCGCGTTTGGTGGATCTTCTCAAGCATTGATTTTTTTGAGTGTGAAGTAATCCTTTCCGCATCACATGATATGCTGAGCAGAGATTCACGGCCCTGTTTGAGTGGGATGTTTCACCCCCTTGGTTTAACTAGATGAAGCGTCTGCAGTTCCAGATGTTAGCGGCGTTGCGATGCTGCAATAGGCAAAGTGATGTTTTTAATAAATGCTCAGCATGCTGACATGATTACAATGAAAGTCCTACATTTCTAACATTTAACAATGTTTACCGTGTTAATATTAACATTATCGAGCAGGCACCTGGTATTGCAGGTACTGGGTCGGGTCACACGTCCATACTGTGGAAGGGGGGTGGGGAGGGGAGGGGGGGGGGGGGGGGGTGTCCAGGAGAGTAAACACAGGTTGCATGGAAGCAGGAGAGAAGAGGAGGCTAACAGATAAGGGAAACTCATTAAGTAATGGAACACAGCCCGCCTGGTTGTTTACTGGCTGGCAGCGTCATTGTACTTAATCACTCCTGTCAAGACCCCCACTCCCCACAACACACACGCATGCACAGACACACACAAGTATGCAAATGCATGCTTCCATGCACATACAAAATTGTACTCACACATACACATGTGCACATTTTCACGCGTGCCTGCCTAACAATACATTTACGCACACACACACATCTCCATGCCTCATAGAATTTTGAGGCACTGCATTAGTTTCTCTTCGGCCTTCATCACTCTAACTATCCTCGTCTTATCTCTTCACAGTTCCTTTTGTCTCCTTCTTGTCCTCATCCTCTCCTCCGCTTTTTGCTTCTCTCTCCTACTCCTGGTTCTGCTCATGCTGGTCTACTCGCTATAACACCCCCCCACCGTGCCGTTGGATCCCTCTTATCTAACAACCTTGAGATGATCTTCAAAGCCTCTTTGCAGGCGAGGATGTGAGGTCACATTTTCTCCAGTTTCTCTTCTCCTTCTTTCGCATCGGCCTGCGCCTCTTGTTCTACTCTGCACTTTAGTACTTTTTGGCTCTCCTTCCATCTAATCTGCCCACCTCCTCCTCCCTCTCCTCTTCCTCCTCCTCCTCCTCCTCTTCCTCCTCCCCCACACTGTCTCTCTCTCTGCATCCCTTCTCTTTATTCCTCCTCACACATTCTTTCTCCTAACATCTATTTCCACCGCATCGGGACTCATCTCCTCTCATTTGATCTTCTCTCCATCTCTGCTGCTCTCCTCTCTCTTTTCCGCTATTTCTCATTCACGTCCTCCATCCTTCTCACCCTGGTTTTCTTCGCCCTCTCCCTGATCTCTAAAAGCTGTGATACAGGGTTCTTTTGTCGTGTGTGCGTTACGCGCCCGCTCTTGCACGTGTCTGGGTTTTGAATGTGGGTGTGTTGTTTTGGGGATGGCACAAACCAAAATATCTTTCATGCAGCCCCAGAGCTGCGCAGCGTTTCCGCTGTCTAATTAATTAAGCGTGGGAGGCTTTGGTCTGTCCATCAGCTATCTGAATCACTCGCTTTTTGTCCTTTGACCATGACTTTCTCTCTCACCAGTCTATTGTCATGTTTATTTGTCGACGTGTTTCTGTCTGTCTGTGTCTCTGATTGTACGCTTCACCAGATTTCTCTCATGCAGAATAGGTACATAATTCAGTCTGCTCTGACGCCCGCTGCTTTCCACAAAGGAGAGGGAACGAGGGCAGTAACACACTCGGTCCAGCTGAGGTCAGCATTGTTGCTGATAATTAACAGCGGGAGAGGATGCCTTTGATTAGGTTTAGGGCAACATTTTACCCTAATGTGGCGTTTTTGTCATGAGCTGCCTGTCTTTAAAACACGCACACTCCGAGGAGAATCCTACTACACATTGCAGGCCAGCTGTGCATTTAAGTGAGGCCCATTGTTCTTCTTTTCTTGAGTATTTTTTACAACAAAAAACTTGTATACATTGAAATATTTCTATTATTTCTTGAAGAGCGTTGGAGAAGTCTACCATTACCAGGCTGTACTTCATTCACACTGACATTCCCTGTCTGATCTGCCCTGCAGTAGAGAAAGAGAGAGAGAGATAGACAGATGAAAATACAGTATGTGTGTGTGTGTGTGTGTGTGTGTGTGTTACTGTAGGCCTGGGATATCACTCAGACAGGAAGGAAGTTTGGCTTTGACTTTCCTTACTGCAAAAACTCTGTTATCAAGGAGCCCCCCACCACACACACAGTAGGCCCTCTACCAGGGTGAGAACTATCTGTGATTCTGCAAAGATCAATCAATCTTATTCAACACCCTGCAGTCTATTCCCCTATCTAAAGTTATTTCTGTTTTAATTTGACCAATTAAACTCAAGTTCTCATGCTGCTGCTTCAGAAAAAAAGCTATGCTGTCTAATTGGTAGAGCAACGTGACCTCCTATGTGACACTGAAGGTGAGCGTTCTCTAAATTCCAAGGATGCAGCACATCTCTGTATTCCCATTGGGTCTCATTTAAACATTTTCACTATGTTTGCGTTATTAAAATAGGTGTAGTAAACGAATGCAGAGAACACCTCATTGCTTGTTTCTGTGTTATTGCTTTTTTATTTATCCTGTCTTATTTTGCTGCCTCAGCCACGGCATGTGTGACTACCTCTATTCAAGTTTCCTTTATCAGGTGCGTTCATCCTTGTTCTCTCAGCTGCACTGGTGATGTTTGCGTTCGGCTTTGCTGACTCGGTCTGTCTTGTTTGATTTTTTTTCTTTAAATCTTGTAAAAAAGGCGCTGTGATTAACGGATAAACGAATATCCTCACTCGACTTTCCTTTCCTACACGATTGAAGGCCAATGGTCTTACAGTCTTCACACATTTGTTCCTCTGTAGCGCGTAGAACTGAGGCAACATTTAACAAACTTCCCGCAGAGCGCACAATAAAAGCCGGCGGTTGTATGTGAAGCCAGTTGTCTATCGGCTTTTTCAATGTCATTGTTCATCAGATCAGAGGTCGAAACATGAAATCAATATCTGCCGTATGATCTTTACTGTCACTGGAGAACCCCTGCAGCCTTGTGGCGTACTGCACAAACAAACAAAGGCAAAATGCCAATTAGTGTAGAATGCCACATCCATTCTCGCTTTAGACAAATGACACACTAAAGAAGACATTTGAACAGTCGCATTGAACAAAGCCTTGTTTTGTAAATCATCTTTCTACCATCTGGTTTTAACCTCGAACTGAACTGAACTGAACTGAACTTAGCTTAACCTAACCAACAACGCCAATCATTTTCTTACTGTTGCATTACTTTTTACTCACAGCATCCGCTCCTCATCCATCCAGGATGTGGAGCTGCTCTGGCCTCAGTGATTTCACTGACAGGACTCCTTCAGACAAATGGCTCTACTTAGAAACAGTAGAGACAGATGAGACAGTCGCACAGCCAGCCAGCCAGGTAGTGAACTGTCTGAGTGCTGATTCACCCCACAGATGCACGGCCGCGCTCCACAGAGACGCCTGTATTCCTAATTTTATCTCGCCAACTCCAGACCTGTGCACAGCCGTCTGCGTTGCTGTGTGTGTACGCTACGCGCACAGAGCTGTGCGCACGGGATCCTTCTGTCTTTTGGTGCACGTGTTGAGGTGCGTATGTGTGTGTGTGTTATCTAAATTGCACCCAGGTGTTTCTCTGAGTTATGATGCAACTCGGTAGATCGTTGGTAGATTTACAGCTGGGAGACCTGGATATATGTGTGTGAGTGTGTGTGTGTGTCTGTGAGTTTGTGCTACTTCCTCAAATCTTCAACATACTCCAAATATTTTCTGAAAAGACGAGAACAACTAAATTGTCGTTCCCTTTGACCTAGTGATGGTGCAAAGTTTTTCTCAGAAAAAACAACCAAATATCTCTCTACTTCCTGTACGAGAGGCCTTGTGTGTCCGATCACAGTCCTGGATGCAAATGCTCCAAAAAAAAGGAAAAAAAAGTTCAAATTAAGACATTCATTTGCATTGTTGCACTTTTTCAAAACCAGAAAGTGT